AAGAGCGTCATCACATTTTCATCGAACCGAAAGTTATTCCTTTGGATGACCTAACGGGTAATAAAGATAGTGAAAAAGATTTCACGGGTATACCATGGCCAGAACCTAAGCCACCGTTACCCGCGCCATCTACTATAATACAGAATCCATATTTCCAATCATTCCGACCCAATCAGCAGCAAATGATGCCTTCAATGGGCACTCAGCCACCCATGGCACCAATACCTCAACAAATGATAAATTCAATTCCGCAAATGCCACCAGAAATGACAAATACACTGCCGCCAACGAGTGCCGGTGGCGGTGGTTGGAGGACAGGAGACGGGAAGATTGTGGTACCTGATACTGCCATGACGCCTATGTCTAGTATACCTACCAATTACCCCCAAACTATGGAAGGCACTCCCATGGTACCACCCAATATGATGGGACCACCAATGTATAATCAAGAGGGGTATATAATGGGACCCGATGAGATGGGATATAATAATTTTCAAGGACCGCCTGGTCCAGGAATGTATGGACCTCCTGTACCCGGAGGACCACCACCTCCAGGGCCACCTTTCCAAGGTCCTAGGGGTCCACCAATGCATGGGAACCGAGGTAGGGGTGGACCTCCCGGACCTGGATGGTTCAGAGGTGGTCCTCCTAGAGGTATGCCTTGGAGAGGTGGTTGGAGAGGTAATGGTAAGCAACCACCTGTGTGTCGTCAATTCTCGAAGAACGGTTATTGTAGAGTGGGTGACAAGTGTCAGTATCTGCATCCTGGAGTGAATTGTCCACCATTTTAAAGTTAGGACATTGTGAAATAATTAACATTCATGAAAGTTAAATTATAAAGCTGCAGGCCGGCGAAGTTTGACGATGTTCTATTGTAATAACGCAGTCTTCAGCAAACGCGCCTTGTAGTCATAGGGTTTGACGATTTTTCATGAGAATTGAGTTGAGTCAATATTCTTGCAATGATGCTTCTCAATCAATAACTAGAGATGGATAGATGGTAAATTAATAAAACTTTTGAGTCTTGCATGAATGTCAAGTGATTTGAGAAATGCAAGAATTTGAACTTGAATTGGATAGTGACATTTTTTTTTGTTGAGAGTTGTAAATATTTCAGGTGAACATTAGAAATTATAAAAATGGACACTCAATTTTATCAAGAATATGCCAAGAGTTTTATTTAAAATGTAAATTATTCTTGTAAATATTGTATAATTTTGTAAAAAAAAAAAGAAAAAAAGATAATTCTAATGTAAAGGAGACTGTTTTTATTAGATCCAGGTGATGCAACTAGACAGTATATGAATGTATCGAAATATTAAAATAAATTTGATGAATGAAGGCTATGCATAATACTAATAAGCAGTTACATTTAAAGACTCAAGTAAACATTTTTTAAGTATCTTGTCAGATTAAAATATATAACATTTTTTACAAGTTAAGGAAAGCGATTAATTTTTGTATACAAATGATCATTATGTTTGTACATAGTTGTAAATGAATTGCTTGCAAAAATACACATGTTATACATATTTTAACAATTAAGTGTTATTTTGTTACAAATTTTTCATTACACATTCTTCAATAAATGAAACCGTTTATTTTAATATACAATTTTTTATATTAGCATCATTATAAAGTTCATTAATGCAGTCTGTAATTGTATTGGTCATACTGATATTGATCAGAACGATGACCATAATTATCCCTTCCCCTCTCTCTAATTCTATCTTTGTCCGATTCTCTGTCACTTTCTCGAGTTGTACTTTTATCTCTGTTACTTTCTCTAGCTGTATTTCTATCTTTGTAATTCTCCCTATCTTTACTTCTATATCTGGTCCTATTTTTATCTGTATTCCAGTCACCGCTTTTTTGCCAATATGGATAAAATTTATGTTGATTTCGATTTACACAGGATCGATTATTTAATCGTTGGTTTACATTATACCAAGGATCAATAATTGGTGGTTTTTTTGGTTTGGCTAATTTTATTTTCATAAATTCTTCATCTTTATCTGTGTAACGGTCTTTAAATTTTTCTTCGCATTCTTTTATAAAATTTTCTTGTTCTATTAATTCCATTGTTTAATTCATATATGATTTTGGTACAACTATGAGCGAATCAGCAACTAAAAGTAGTTTAAGATGTTATTAATAACTTGATTAGTTATATAATTATTTATTAATATATTTATAATTTACATTTCTTATTTAACAAAAAAGCCAGTTTAAGTACAAAAAATCCCTTTTTAGAAGGCTGATTTGGGTTAAAGTCTATAGACTCTATTGGTTCAAAGACCCTGTAAAAAGTAATAAAATAGGTATTAAGATATTATCTTATCAAAGATCTTTAAAGATAAGCTATGCATAATACCATCCGTGATGAACTCCACACTGTTTGCAAATACAAGGCTTCCACGCATATCCAGGATACCAGGTAAAATTCTGTTGCCACTAAAAATTGTTTATTATACTAGTATAAATTATTAGTTTTAGTAAAAAAAATCAACTAAAAAACTTGATACTAACGTTATTTATTGCAGTACATTTTGTATTAGAAAATGAAATAGAATAAAATTTTATGCCTAATGAATTACTAAAAACTTGTACTGCTACGTCCTTTTGTTCAAAAATAGTTTGATTAATTGCGATGTTAGCTTCAGGACTTAAATGATTTATAATATGTTTTGTATCTGCGAGGTCTGCTCCACATCGACGGCATAAAATGTAACTCGTAGTAGTATCTACAAAATTTGTGTAATTGATTGAATAAATTATTCTTATACTACTAGTAAATTTTTGTATTTGGAAATTAAAAATGAAATATAAGGTTATGTTCGTTAAATGGTTGTTCAAAACTACATAAATCAACATTAATGTCGAAAATTAAAAATTAAAAAATTAAATCAAAAGTATAATAACGAAAATGAAATAATACCTTCCGCGATAGAACTCAAAGGATTACTTATATTATGCGAGTAAGTAGTACTTAAAGTAACAAAAAAAAGGAAAATTAGTTTAATTAAATAAACAAAATTAAAACCGAACAAATGCTTGCTTCCCATCGGTGAATAATTTAAAAGACAGCAAACAACTGTTTGCCACATGCTTTAACACGCGTGTTTTTATTTGTATACGTTGCTTACATTCGGGAAGAAAATTTTTTATGCTATGATTAAATCAATGATCAAAGTAGGAGTGTAGTTTATATCACATGATCGTATAGAGAATTACGTGGACGTTTTCAAAAATGATACGTCATAAACGCAATGTTGCATTACAAGAAATAAAACTGACCTATGCTTCGACGTCTGTTTTTATTTAAATTTTAAACACAATATATTTCCATAGCTCAAAATCAATGAGCTAATACGATGCTACGGAATCCTAGTCGCAGTCGAAAGTCGAGTCGCAACGATTTGGATTTGTATTAAGTACTACTAGTTAGCACATTGTGGAAACTGAAATTACAATTGAATAAGAAGGAGGAATGGAATAAGTGCAATGTACCATTAGAGGCATTGCTAATTTATTATTTAAGGATTAAAGGAAAACAACATTGATTATTGTGCCAATTTAAATTTATTATTGTTTGACAGATGGCTTATCTAGTAAGTTTGTTAATTAGATAATTGGTTTATTTTTCGATTGGAATATCTCTTTTTAGAATTTTGAATGTAAATTAAAATTTTTATTAGTTTATTTAAATGTCAATTGATTAATTACCAATATGCGTATTAATAGACAAATTTGATTAGCGTTAAAATCATAAAAAAAATTGTAAAAATCGTAAGGGTATTAATAATCATGTGATAATTTGAATATTTTTTATTTTCTACAATATTTTAAGTTTTTAAACGGTTTAAAAAACACAGCCGATTAAATGTTATATTACATACATTATATTACATACAATGTTATTATTATACATCCACATTTTAATATACACTTTGTCTTAGCAGATATAAATAGCACTAAAATAGTTTCAGCCGAGGAGTTGCAATCGATTTTAGTTAATGGTTGATGCAAGCCACTTCTTAATCATCTACTTGTTCTCTGATAATAATAAGTAACAGGTATAATATTATCATAGATAATGCAAAATTATTATAATTACTTTATCTTTATTTTTATTCATTATTACAGTATTGCTTGCTAAGCATACAAAGCCGGCTATAGGTTTCCTTGAATATTATGCTCTCTTTAATAATGGCTAAAAATTTTCAAATATTTTCATTGTAAAAACATTGGAAGTATTTAAGCGAAAGAACTCAACATCGCTTTTACACAAAGAGGATACAGATTTAAATAAGAATTCATTAGTTTCTTAATAAAAAGATGATAATCAACATTGAATTATTATCATTGATGAGTTTATATTATTGTGTATAAAGTTAATGAAATTTAGAGGTCTGTACATTGGTTGTGGAGTTACATAAAAATTTTTCCTAATCAAATTTTGTTCATCTCTATAGAAGAGTTTTCAAAAAAATGCAGAATAAGCCAAAGTAATTAATATTGGATTTGAAAACTTTTTGGACTAGGTGTTTCAATTTTGATATGTCATGTTCACGATGTTTCTATTTATGGTATTATATGATATATTAGATATTTCATAGTATTTCATGTATAAAATTGTATATATTTGACTTTACAATTCTATTTCTGAATTAGTTTAAGTTATGTCATAAGTACTTATTTTAATTGTATTGAATATTAAATTTGTACAATATCACTTTATAAATTAAATTTTGTTTCCAATTTATAATAAAATAAAAATACAAATATTTTTTAAAAAGAAATTGTTTTTTTTTAATAAATTCTCAGTTTATTTAATAAAAAATTATTTACTTACTATTATGAATTATTTGTACGCATTGTATTTTTTAAATATATTTATAGTTTAGCTTTATATTTGTACTTTGTATTATTTGAAAGTTACCATAGAAACCAGTGCATTACAATATAATATTTTAATAGGGTTCATCTTGAATTAAGACTTACATAAAAAAGATTACATCTTGAATGTAAACAATGCCTGTATTGAATATATATTCTAACAATGTTAAATATTTATACAAAGTTAGAGTGTGTTCGCTTAGCGCTTTTGTTGTTTTGATAGCTATAGTATTCACATTACTAACTCCGTTAATATTTGTTTATCATGCTGGAGGTTAGTATAAGATTTAAATTAAGTTATATTTTAAAATACATCATTTTCAAAACGATCTAAGAATATATGTTCTGAGAAAAATGCATTAATCTTATTATTTTCTTTTTTATTATTATTTTAGGGTATTGGATAAAATCTCGTATGTATTGGGAAAAGCCAAATGTACATTTCAAACACAAATATTTTTTATTAATCGAACAAGATGATACAAATCCCTTAATTTGTTCCACATTTTCTCATTATAAAGATAATGTAGTTAAGGATGATTGTAATTTGGTTAAGGTAATATCTATGGTTTCTTAGGTAATAATGAAAATTTTTTAAATTTACATGAAATTCCAGTCGATATTAACAGTTATGATAAAAAAATATAGTATATTTTAGGTGAAATTTAAATAAATATTTTACAGGTGCGTGAAGTAGATAATGATGAAAATGGATTACAAGATTCACTGCATTTCGAAATTTCATTGTTTACTAACAAGCCAATAAGATCATTAATACTATTATTATTTTTTAATTATGAATTGAAGGTTGAAATTATAAAATATTTTTGGTTTCGATTATTATTGGTTTTATTATTAATTTGTTAAATGCCGCTCTTTATTTGTAGGAACATATTCATATTATTGTTGAAGCAATGTCAGTAATAGAATATGTGGTGGCACACGAAGTACAAGAATTATATTTTATAGGTGATTTAATGCTACGTCAGAATAATATTTTAATGCACGATGAAGTATATTATTCAGATGACAATAGTACGGATTTAAATCGTTTTACATTACATGATTTATTGGTAGAAAATACAAATCGTTTATGTAAGTGTGTTTTAAAAAATAAATTGAAAATATAAATATTGCTTATAAATAATTTTATTATAGTTTCAGGTAGAATTACAAATTTAAGAGTATTACCTAAATTAGGATTTATTAGCGATGAACCAATAATAATAAAAGCCGAAGTTTTTTATGTCATGCAGTCTATTAATTATCAACCAGGATTTTGGGAAGAAATAAAATGGGCTTGGATGCAATATCTTTCGATTTTAGTAATTGTAATATATTTAATTAGAAATAGTTTGACTAGAATGTTCATTTCTAAACAATTGAGGAGCTACGTAGTAGTTCCTTGGCAAAAAAAGTAAATACTTTTACAATTTGTAATTTGTAATATTGATTTTATAATAAAAGTTTTAAAACTTTTTAAACTATAACTATTGCTTTGTGAATTCATTATTTATAATTTTTCTGAATTATTTGGTAATCTGCAATTATTATGGAATACTAACGAATACGAACTATCCTGTAAAAGGTCGATAGAAACGTATCACGTCAGTTTTTCATCCAAAAATCGTAAAATTTTATATGCAAAAAAAATTGTAATATCGAACTCGACCTACTATTCGAATGTTCATTACGGATTTAATCGTCCCGTTTGCACTAGGCAACCCTACTTTGGTAACGCATGGTCACTCTGTTCAATGAGTATGGAGACTGCGCTCTGTCTAATTTGATGCCACCTCTTCTATGATAGTTTTCTCTAAGCCTGTGAGAATAATGCGGCACTTCGTTCTTCTTCGTTAACTAACGGGTTAAATATAACCCAGCATCCCTTATTTGTCAAGTTAGGGATAATCTGTTGTTTTTCTATCGAGTCTGCGAGTAGTTTTCTTCGCTGACTTTATGCACGTTCCCGAGACAAATCAAATATCACGTGGAGACGTGTGATAAAAATGGGTGAGTACGATGCTGTGGCTGTTAATTTGGATTTGCCAGTGCAAATTTCAGGGATTATTAGAGTTGATTTCGATAAATTATATGGCAAATGTGTTATTTAATATGCAATGATTTATCGTCTACGTTATATTTAAATTTTGAATCTGTTTCGATTTTGCATTATGAATTTCACGGCTTTGTTTTGTATAACATATCAAATCTTGATACTAAAGTTAGAAGAAAGGAAGGGATTGTAAATAATTTATCATTTATTGTTAATCCTTTAAATAGGTGCTGTATATAATATTATTATTACAATAGTTTAATAATTCATTCTTAGGGGTATATCGTTTACTATATCATTGAAAAAGGATTCCGTTACTTTACAGTCATGTATATGAAATATAAAACTTTTTAAAAATATTTTACTATACTTTTAAAAAAGGGAAAAGATTTTATTTTAAAATATCGTATAGTAGTGCATAATTTATTTATAATATTAATAATACTATATTATGCTAGGTAGCTAACATTAATAAGCATTGTACGTATTTGCGCATGTATCAAATGCTTATCCATACACATGCATAGAAGTACATATGTTTAAATGCACGCATATATATATATATATATATATATATATATATATAAGAATTAATAAAAGACGCAGCTTATTGCCAATGTTTCGTTACTAAAGGCTGTAATATTACTAATCTTTAAATCCCGCGCCGTACTAATGTCCTTATAAATATTAGGGTGATCCGTATGATACATGAGTGAGTGTAGAGCACGAGCGTATACGAGCGTATACAAGCGAAGTTAAAGCTACATGCAAGAACCAAACAGAATAGCCTGACAGTTATAACTTTTGCAGTCCTACTATCCAGATTCCAGCCACCAAAATTTCAGGGCTTCCAGTTCTCAATTTGGTGAGACGAGTCGGCGCACTCAATTCTCTACCTATTCCTTTTAACCTGTCCCATCGCTGACCTACGCTAGCTCACAAACGAGATAACTATTACGTTTATAGACATTCGCTTCTTGAAACATATGCATATAGATAAACAACGGATGCGAGCGCTGGTTTTCTTTTACATACGCCGTACAGTTGCATTAGCAGTTCGCGAGGCTAATAAAGGAGCGCGATGTTGCTTCTTTGTCGTGAACTCGTGGGGCAGTGTAGCACTGAGCGCCGTTCTCGCGCAGCTGGGTACACTTTATTTTGCATTTAATTGTTTGTCGCGTGTGACTTCGACCCCGAACCCGATGAGTCGCGACTCCAACTAAGTGACGCTAGTCGAGGAATAACGCTCGTTCAGTATTAAAAAATGAGCGTGATTCCAATGCGAGCTTTAAAGTTTCTTTGTGTCTCTCGTCTCACCGGTTGTGGGTTATAAATATTGCAACATCTCTCCATTGAACCAAGGCAATTTGCACTGATTATAATTTTTTACTCTCTATTTTTTGCACTCTATCTCTTGATTGTAATTAACGAAGCTCATTCATTCCTTTTGTCTTTCATCGAAACAATTGCTTGTAGTTTGACCGAGTGACTTCAACATTGATTAATTTAATTAAAAGTCATGAGTACAAGGTCCACGGAAAAAGTAGTGGCTGCCTTTCGCAAGCTCTTTCGTTCGTCGGAAAAAATTAACGAGCAGGAGCCAGACGATGGTAGTTCAACAAATTCTCCTTCTCGAAGAATACTTGGAAGACATCATAGGCCTGATGTCGTAACACCGGCCGAGGCTCCTCTGCTAGATAAACCAAGTACAAGCCAGATGAATAATGCAAACTGTTTTTTTAAAGCTAAGAAATCTTCTGAAAATTGCTCGCAAGTAAGTGCTGTTTTTTGTCACTTTTTTTTTTAAATTGTAGCAGCTCTTTGCTCGTAGATTATAGCTTATATTGCATTGTAGAGTATAGCTGTGCCGGAAAGAGGAGTTCGTTTACGAAGACTGATGAAAGAGTTTAGTGAAATTCAAAGAACGCAGCATCGTAGAGACTCAACCTTTACAGCCGAACTTGTTAACGATAATTTATTCGAATGGCATATTAGATTACACAGAATCGATCCAGAAAGTGAACTTGCCGATGATATGAAGGAGCTTGGAATTCCTCATATACTTCTGCATATAATTTTTCCAGAACATTTTCCCTTTACGCCTCCATTCATGAGAGTAATCTCTCCTCGCATAGAAAAAGGTTTTGTAATGGAGGGTGGTGCCATATGCATGGAATTACTTACACCTAGAGGATGGGCAAGTGCTTATACCATAGAGGCTGTGATAACGCAATTTGCAGCGAGTATTGTTAAAGGCCAGGTATTTTATTTTACTCAATTTTCTATGCCACATTTATCGTTACAATTTATTTTTGAAATAAGTTTCCATTATATTATATTACATATATATATATATATATATATATATATTGATTAATAGGGACGAGTGGCAAGAAAACCAAAGACTAATAAAGAATTCAATCGACGTTCGGCTGAAGAGTCGTTCAGGAGCTTAGTCAAAACTCATGAAAAGTATGGCTGGGTCACACCGCCTTTAGCCGAAGGCTGAATATCATTTTATTTGACGGTGTGCCACAAGGATCAAATCCTTGTATTCGATTATCTCCATTTTTAACGAGTATATCTAACAAATATTCTTCAATTTATGCAATGTATATTGTTATGCATAAAGGTATTCGACGAAAAATGGCGCAAAATAATTTCAATTAGTCAATTCAGCTAGTCTCTAAATTAGGAAAAAAACTTTTGAATATAACTAAGATATTAAACTTGGTGGTTTCAATCTCATCGTTACTTTCTGCGCCGTTTGTCGCTAATTACCCAATTAATTATAGTTTTTGTTTGAACAAATTTTTCAGTAATTATAAAACAATAGACTAATATTTTTTTGCGAGCGATTTCTTAACTACGATTTCGAAAATACGTATTGTCTAGGTTATAAAAGAAAGAATCATATTATAATATTTTAGATACCAAAATTTTTTAAAAGTAGATTTCTTTCGGGTAAGCCATTGCATTACATATTTTCGAAGTCAAAAGTTCAAATCGAAAAAATATAAGTGTATGTGAATATTCACATCTGGCTTAACATTTTTAGAACTTATTACAAAAATTCACGAATGTAAAATTATGGAAATTAAATGTTTAATATGATGAAAATCACATTATATAAATATATATATATATATATATATATATATGTTTGTGGTTCTGCATGTATTATTGTATATATTTTATTAAACGATTAAATGAAGTAGAATTTTCAGGACAAAAATATTAAAAAAAATTATAATATATTAGATAGTATCTCCATAAGTATCTGTGCACTTAATGGAGGTCTCACATTAACGATTAAGGTATTACAATGCATTTCAGAAAATTTTTTATGTATTTCATATATAGAAATGATATACCAACTGAGATAAAATAAATTTTGAAGATCTCATAAAATTTAACTATTGATTAATTTAAATCATTCATGTATGTACACATATGTGTGTGTGTGTGTGTGTGCGCGCGCGCGCGCGCGCGGGCATGCGTGTGTGGATGTGTACGCTTGCACGTAAGCGTCGCGCTCACGCGCGCGTTAGTGAATTGTATTTTTTTGGCGAGTATAAAAAAAAATTTATAACTATGAGTTAATGAGATTGTCTCATAACTTGCAATGTAATAAAGATTTTTGTGTAGATTAGCAAAAAGTACAAAATTATATAAATAAAATAATAATAATAAATTAAAATGATTTATATGTTATCATTTTTGTTATGAAGACATATTTTAATATTGATATCAGTCGATTAATTTTTATTATGGTTATGTAATAATAACATGATCTTATTTATTGGGAATAGAAGGTTGAAAATATTAGAACTCTTTAAAATTTTGCGAGGTTGCTGAAATATATATATCTGCAGATTATATTACCATAGATAAATTAGAAATGATTTATTATTCTCAATTGACAGGTTAGTAGGGATAAATAAAAATATAAATAGCGTTTTCGCTTTTAATTATTTTATTTCATTTATTATGGTAGTCATATTTAGAATATTGATAACATTTCTTAAATGGGAAGTATTTACTTGGTATTCCGTTAGTGAAATAATAATAAAATTCTTTCTATTTAAAATGAGATTTAAAATATTTAAAATCTAGGTGAAATGAACAATTTAATATTTATAATAGTATTAAGATAATATATATGTGTATAAAGTTAAAATGAAATTAATTACGAAAAAACCTATTAATCATCGAATTAATATTGATATCTCGGGACTTGCAAGTAAAAATGAGTAAATTCATACAATTGTTTTATTACAATTCGGATCACTGCAATTTTTTAAAGTGTTTCATTTTTGAAATAATGTTTTCCGAACATTAAGTTATACGTTGAATTTTAATATAAATGAAATTTGTGATACGTAACTGTATTTTTAATTATTTAATTGAAATATTTTGACAAGTATACTGGATATTTAAACAACATAGTTTTAGTAAAAATATTAGAATGCATTCAGAAATATTTTCTTTTTCCGTAAAACGATACAAAAATATAATTGTTTTGAGCTATAAATTCCAATGAAAAACGGATTAGTCTGGATTAAATCATAGTGAAAATGAACTCTTTTCGATTTGTGTATTGTTAAGTTTATTGCGTTTATTGTGTTATTAAGTGTATTGTTTAAATTAAAAATATAATGTTTATTTTACATAAAAAACTATCTGCCAAAAGTGTCATATATTGATATTAAAATTAAAATAACGAAATAAAATTGAAAAGTTCGATTGAATATAATAAATTAAAAGATTTGATTTTTTTTCCTTTTGTTCATATTATACAATTTAAGAAAATAAATTAAAATAAATATTACCTTTTTACACAACAGTATTTAATATAGTTGCATATTATTAGAAACTTAAACTTATTATTATGGCTTGTGGTCTTAAAATATTTTATAACAATCTAATTATGAAAGTTACGATATAATATGCAAATTATAAAAATTAAAAAATCATTAAAAAAGGACATTAAAATTAATTTAACGCAATTGACGCAATTGTTATTAAAATTGCAAAGTAATATACAATTTAATTATAAACAGTAATCTTTATAAAATATTAGTCATTAGGTGATTACGCGATGATTAATTAGGATAAGATAATATAGTGATTTAAATATTCATACTATTAGAAATTGATGAATAATTTATTATGTAAATAAAAAATATTTAACTAATAATTAAATATGATTAATGCCTTAGATAAATTCAGCGCTTAATACGGAAAAATCAATTTTCCATATTTATAAAGTAATTTTCTTAATTCTTACATTGACATGAATATTAATTATTGCACATGATACAGTATAATATTTATATTTATGAAAAATAAGTTTCTTTTAGTATTTTATAAAAGAGATTGAAAAGGCCATTGGCATGTTTTTAAGAGGGAAGGGATAGGCGGATTATACACACACGCACGCGCTCGCGCTCGCGCTCGCACGCACACGTACGCAAGTTTAGATGCCAGGAAAGCAATTGTAATAAGGTCATTCTTATGGACAGTGCTGGGGATTGGAAGTTTACTTTAGACGATCGTTAATGGATATGCAAGTGCTGGGTATTCCTCTACGTATATATATATAGTAGAATAGACGATAAAAATTGAAATTAAATGAGTGATGAACTGACTGAATGTAATCATACTATTTATAATCATGTAAGTTGTTCACGCCAGAAATAAATTTGACCAATTATTTTACATATTTTATATTTTTTCCAGAAAACACTGCAATAATAGTATAATTTCATAATAATAATAATAATAATAATAATAATAATAAAATTATATTGTTATTAGATGATGAAATCTCTCATTTATTTGCATTGTTACATTAATTATATCTTTAAATTATGTATAAGATTAAATTGTGTTTACAGTAATGAATTTATCTGACAATGTAATATATCATTATTATTAGGGTAAGTGTACCATATCTTATTCTACTCCAGACATTCCTTAATACATTGCCCATAAATTGTTGGTTGATTATTATAAGCCACGGAAGCACCTAAATTTTTAGTTCATTTGCAACTTTTCAGTTACTATTATAGCTGTATTTCTCAATTTGGTTTAGAAAAACAAATTTTAACTAGAAAAGTATGTTTTCATGAAATATTGTACACTAGAGAGCTCGTAGCTATTGCAAACTTTGTCTCTTTCTACCGTTCTTATTTTATCGGTTGAGTATATTATTAGCATGTATTCTAAAAATTATTCAATAATAGTATGATGTTTACAGTAGGATTTCTTATATTTTTAGTAAGTTTTGTCATTTTATTTATCTTTTTACGTATCTTTATTGCTCATATAGCCTATATTTCAACTGCACTTAGTACATTTAGTAAGTCTGACAAATTTGAAATCTCCTTACAAAATAATATCCAATAAATAAATATCTTTTTATTTTATCTTATTATCTTTTTATTATAATGAATAATTATGATAAATTATTTTGAGTTATATTATATTAAATTATAAAATCTTCGGCTGTAATATTAAATAAATATTTAAACTTTTTTTTTTAATTATATGGTAATTGAATTACAATGCATGAAACATAAATTTGATCATAATGGATTCTTCAGATTTGAAATATTTCTTTCCATTAATGAATATAAATTTTATATTTATTTAGAAAAGTCATTTGATGGCAATTGATACCAATGTTAGCTATTTAAATTAATTGATATAAATAAATAGTAATATATTTATAATTTTTGGTAGTAACTATGATGTATGTGTCGTTAATATTTTCATTATAACGGCAGATATTTAATGTTATATCATTACCAATTTTTTGAATAATATTAATATGCTATTTTATGTTCCGTAACGTAATAAGAATTAGAGCTGAATTACAATATGATTTCAATTAAGATTATCATAAATAGCAAAATGCAAATCAAATATTAAATACACCTTAGGACAGAATAAAAGAAATATACTTTGAAATTCATCTTAATTAAAAACTTTGAATAATTAAATTTCAATATGGTAAATTTAACTTTTCATGATCAATTAAAAAAAAAATTTTTTTTTTTCATATTGTTTCTTAATATTAAATAATTTTTATAAATCTATTTATTTCATTGAATATTTTTATATTTTTCTACTTATATGATTCGTTAATTTTATAAAATGTTTATCCAACATTCGGATTTGTTTATAAAAAATTATTTTCATAAATTTCATTGCCTCTTATTATTTTTATTTATTTTATAGAAATTTATTTAGTACTTCATATCTTTAGTTTTTCATTAAAATGTAATTTTAAATTGTATGAAATTTTAAATTTAAAATAATTTACATGATACAAAGTATGACTTGTATTGTTAGTATTAATGAATACTATTATTTGTTTACATGTATATATATATATATATATATATATATATATATATATATACATTGCAGTGTACGTTGTTAAGCTTCTTTGTATCTTAGACATAACATCCGCAGACTTATCTTATCAAGAAGTATAAAATGTACTAGTAGTGGGGAGAGAAATTTTAAATAGAATATAGAAAAATTGGTTTATCCATCAGGGGCTTATAAATGAAAAATCATTGAAAAAATTTGTTGGTGATAGGGTAATAAAGAAGAGAATTTTTTTTAATGTCAAAAAACAAAAGAATTTATTATACTATTTAATTGTATGCATTGATTTTTTATACAAAAGATAATGAAGTCCAGAAATACGTAACCTACATCTTTGATATTTCTTACGTAACAATATTTATAGTATCGAATATGCCTTGAAGCAAACACATTTAATACGAGTGCAATATTATTATCATTATTACTTAATATAATATCCTTAATTTCTTTAGAAATTCTTTAAGACTAAGTTATGTATTCAATATAATAGTCATTTTATTGTATTAAAATAATAAATATTAATTTTTTTGATTTTCACAACAAAATTACTAATAGGATTTTTAAACTTCACAGTTATATATTTTATTTTATAAGGGATTAAAATAGATGATTTTAATTAATGTTCGGTAAAAAATTAATGTAAATCATATTTTAATGAAA